TCCCTTCCCCCTTTTCTTTTCTTTTCTTTTCTCTTCCTTCTTTCTCTCCTTTCTTCCTTCTCTCCCTTTCCTTCCATCCCTCCTTCTCTCTTTCCTGCTTTCTTTCTCTCCCTCTTTCTCTCTCTCCTTTCTTCTCCTCCGCTTCCCTTCCTTCCCTTCTTGACCTCTTGCCTGGGCGCTGTAAGGAAGGATCCTCGGAGGGAGGGAGGGAGGGAGGTGCTTTGGAGGCAGGCCTCGCTCACCCAGCGCCACCCCTTTTTTCTGCCATGGCTTCTTGCCTGTTTGCCAGTTGGGCATGCCATAGGTGCCTCTCGCGCTGGCTGTGCTCGCGTGGCGGGGTGGGCGGAAGAGAATGGGTTGGAACGCATGCGCAGTGTTCTCTTTTAAAAATTAAGGTCTTACCATTTTTTGGGAGGAATTTTTTTGAGTGCAGGACATAGATTGTAGGGCTGGGCGGTTTCGTTTCGTTAATTCGTAATTCGTTAAAAATTCGTTATTTTTTTTGTTAACGAAGCGATAACAAACCATTCTGGAGCAACTTAAAAACGAAACGAATTTTTCAATTCGTTTCGTAAATGCTTCGTATTTCGTTATGTATTCGTTTCGTTATTGGTTTGAGGTCGTTTCGTTATTATTTCCGCATGTCTGGGGCAAGTTTTATAGTTGTTTTTTGTTTAATTATAATATCACACCAACAGTCAACAACAGAGGGAGAGGGAAGCTTCAGAAGTTCCCCCTGTCCCATTTGGAGGGTTTTTAGCGTATTGCGCGGTCGCGTCCGCCATTAACGAATCGATTCGTTATTGTTTCGTTATTGTTTTGTATTTTTTTACCATTTACGAAATTTCGTAAATATCAAACTTTTTTTAAAAAAAAATTCAGAATTCTTTTAAATATCGAAACGCAAAAAAAACCCAAAAAACGAATCGATTTTAGAAACAAATTTTTCCGTTGTTACCCAGGCCTAATAGATTGCTCTGAATGCTGTGCTGTGTCCAAATTTGGTGTCAATCCCCCCAGTGGTTTTTGAGTTCTGTTAATATCACAAACGAACATTACATTTTTATTTATATAGATTGACTTCTCATTTAGAAAATCATTGGGACTTATGACGGCTCGGAAGCTCCAACTGGTCCAACAATCAGCAGCCAGGATGCTAACGGGGGCCCCTTACAGAGAGAGGTCAACCCTCCTGTTCAAGGAGCTGCACTGGCTGCCGTTTATTTTCCGAGCCCAATTTAAGGTGCAGGTGCTTACCTACAAAGCCCTGAACGGTTTGGGACCACCCTACCTGCGTGACCGCATCTCCATCTACGAACCCACACGTTCACTTCGGTCATCTGGAGAAGCCCTACTCGTGATCCCACTGGCGTCGCAAGCGCGCTTGGTGGGGACGCGAGACAGGGCCTTTTCCGTGGTGGCCCCCCAACTCTGGAACACCCTCCCCAAAGACCTTAGACAGGCCCCTACATTGGCTGTCTTCAGAAAGAACTTGAAGACCTGGCTTTTCCGATGTGCCTTCCCAGATTAGGAAATCTCCACTACCAAGTCCCATAAGCACTTTATCAGAACCAATGATTGCTGCACATCGCACATCGCACTTGCCCTGGAAGCCCTTTATACACTTCCTGTCACATCAGCACTTTTAATTTTGTACCCACCTTGTGGCCCGGCCCAGTTTTATTGTGTTTTAGTGTATTGCGCCTGTTGTTTATTTTGCTTTATTCTGTTTTTAATTGTCTGATTTGCTTAGATTATATTGTTATGTTGTGTTGTTGAGGCCTCGGCCTGTGTAAGCCGCATCGAATCCTGCGGGAGATGCTAGCGGGGTACAAATAAAGTTTAATAATAGTAATAATATGATGAGTGCTGATGTCAGATAGTTAAAGATAGTTATGATATCTCATTGAGGTGTGAAAAGGCATGCAGTTTCGGGTTCCATTGCTGACTGGCCCCTCATTCTGTATATCGGAAATTACTCGAAAGGGGAGGTATAGAGAATCGATACATTGGCTACAATGGGAAATTTTAAAGGTTCGATCCTCAACCATTTTAAGGCCTATCTGCATGAAACCTACCTCAGTTTTAGACCCCCATTTAAAACTGCAGGCTTGCCAAGTTTCAAAACAATTCGCCAATCTACATTTTTTTAGAATTATTTTAAGTTTTAAACATAACATTCCAGCGGGGAAGCATGCGGGGAATGCGGAAGTGCTTCATCAGTGCCGCAGATGGACGATGAAAGCAACAGCTCCCCTGGCGGCCAGTTAAATAGCCTCTGTGTATGTCTGTATATTAGGCTTGGGTAACAACGGAAAAATTTGTTTCTAAACTCGTTTCGTTTTTAGGGGTCTATCGCGTTTCGTTTTTTTTTAATAATTCCAAAATTTTCCTGGCACCCGCGCATGAAGAGACCAGGTATCTAGCCGACGCTATTGGGGCCCAAAGTTCTGAGTTCCGAGCCTGATGCCTGTTGGGCCCTGCGCCCCTGGCCAATGCCAGGGGCTGGGTGGGGCCGGCCACGGATTGGCCAGCTGACTGAGTGGCGGGAAACTTCCCGCCATGCAGGGGCTTCTGCAGAGGAGAAGCCCCTGCTTCCAACATGGCCAGAGGGAGGGGCGCCCCCCACCGCAACAGGCCTTGCCCGGTAAGTCGGGCAATGAATTTGTCCTTGTCTGATTCGGGGGGGGGGGGGAGCTGCGTCTGAGTGAGAGAGGATCTACCCTAGAAAACCTTTGTATTGCTATCCCAATACCCCCATGCAAAGCAGCAGGGAGGGGGGGCTTGAGAGGCTTCACCCCCCCCCCCAATTCTCAGGGTGGTCCACGAGAAGGCCTTACTGGTATGTGGCACGGTGGCATCCTTGTCTGCAACTTTGCCCTCGGCATACACTCTTTCCTTTTCGGTGCCCCTGGTTTCAGCGTTTGGTGCTGGGAGAGGAAGGGGAATGTGGCGATAGCCCAGGCACCAAAGAGGATGCCGCCACACCAGAGACAATTCGGAAACCGCAATAGGCCTTCATGCCTGTGCATTGAAATCTCGATATAGTTGTGACTGGGAGTGGGGTGCATCGAGCCTGTCGGCTGCCTTCTGGGTGCGAAGACCTGCCGAGTGCACAGGTGCAAAGGCCTCCGAATGGTCTGCGGTGCGGCAACATCCTCTTTGGCACCTGGGCAGTCGGCACACTCCCCTTCCTCTCCCAGCACCAAAGGCTAAAACCAGAGACAACAAAAAGGAAAGGGAGTGCGCCGAGGACCCAGGCGCAGACATGGACAACACCATGCCACGTACCAGTAAGGCCTTCTCTCGGACCACCTTGAGAATTTTGGGGAGGGGTGAAGCCTTCCAAGCTCCCCCTCCTGCTGCATTGCATGGGGGTATTGGGATGGCAGTGTGGTGGCATGGCGGTGCGGCAGCATCCTCTTTGGTGTCTGGGCTGTCGGCATCCTCTCCCGGCACCGAATGCTGAAACCAGGGGCATCGAAAAGGAAAGAGAGTGCACCGAGGGCCGAGGTGCAGACATGGACAACACCATGCCACATACCAGTAAGGCCTTCTTGCGGACCACCCTGAGAATTTTGGGGAGGGGTGAAGCCTTTCAAGCCCCCCCCCCCCGCAGCATTGCATGGGGGTATTGGGACGGCGGTGTGGTGGCATGGCGGTGCGGCAGCATCCTCTTTGGTGCCTGGGCTGTCAGCATCCTCTCCCGGCACTAAATGCTGAAACCAGAGGCACCGAAAAGGAAAGAGAGTGTGCCGAGGGTCCAGGTGCAGACATGGACAACACCATGCCACATACCAGTAAGGCCTTCTCTCGGACCACCTTGAGAATTTTGGGGAGGGGTGAAGCCTTCCAAGCCCCCCCCCCCCCCGCAGCATTGCATGGGGGTATTGGGACGGCGGTGTGGTGGCATGGCGGTGCGGCAGCATCCTCTTTGGTGCCTGGGCTGTCAGCATCCTCTCCCGGCACTAAATGCTGAAACCAGAGGCACCGAAAAGGAAAGAGAGTGTGCCGAGGGTCCAGGTGCAGACATGGACAACACCATGCCACGTACCAGTAAGGCCTTCTTGTGGACCACCCTGAGAATTTTGGGGAAGGGTATTGGCATGGTGGTATTGGCATGGCGGTGCGACGGCATCCTCTTTGATGCCTGGGCTGTCGGCATCCTCTCCCGGCACCGAATGCTGAAACCAGGGGCACCGAAAAGGAAAGAGAGTGCACTGAGGGCCCAGGCACAGACAAGGACACCACCGTGCCACATACCAGTAAGGCCTTCTCGCGGACCACCCTGAGAATTTTGGGGAAGGGTGAAGCCTTTCAAGCCCTCCCCCCCCCCCCACTGCATTCCATAGGGGTACTGGGATGGCGGTGCGGTGGCATGGCGGTGTGGCGGCATCCTCTTTGGTGTCTGGGCTGTCGGCATCCTCTCCCGGCACCGAAGGCTGAAACCAGGGGCACCGAAAAGGCCCAGGCACGGACAAGGACATCACTGTGCCACATACCAGTAAGGCCTTCTTGTGGACCACCCTGAGAATTTGGGGGGCTGAAACCCCTCAAGCCCCCTCCTCTGGCTACATGCCTGCCTCGCATATAGAAGGCAAGTACTATATATCAGTTTTATGCTCACAAACATTGAAATGGAAGTAATGTTGAATGCATACAATGTTTACAGAAATCCATGTCTAACTCACTGATATTTGCCGACTGTTTTTTCAGCCATTGGACTCAGTCAGTTGACCAGCTTGAATGACCACTGAGGATGCACAAAGAGTCACCTCAATATGGAATGATATCCATCCCTTAAAATGAAAGAGAATGAGGGTGTCAACAACAAGCATCATGTGCTGAGTTAACACTCAGATGCCTTTGATAAACGAAGAGTCCCAAAGAAAGCAGGCGAGGGAGAAAAAACTCAATTAAAGCAATTAGGATGTTACATATGAACGAGCGAACGCAGCCTAATTGAGATGATAATTAATTAGGCCTTAAAATCTCATGCACAGAAGATGTCTCATAATCAAAAGACGGCCCCAGAAATGGTATAAAAGGACCGTCAATCCGACAGGCACACCACAGCTTCGCTTGGCTCCACTTCTTCGGAAACGTAGTAAGTGCAATTGTGAACCAAGTCTTTCCCATTATTCTTTTCTCCTCTTAGGTCATGGTGGTTGGATTTGGAAGGAATACCCATGGGATTTAATATTTGTATCATTGCCTTTTTGAGATGTAATACTGTCTTGCTGTAAATTATTGAATTTTTTTTTATCCTTGGTCATATGCTTGTTGGCTATCAACCTTCAGAAGATCGTATATCACTATACTATGGTTTATCACATGGATCTGCTTTAGGAATGGATAGTCCATTTTCTTTGGTCTATTGATGCCTATGAAGTCAAAAAATACTTTAACTTAGGAAGACAATATAGTAAATTTTGAGATGTTCATCCAAAGATGTTGAAATCAGAGAGATGGTTCTCAACCTCTGGGTCCCCAGGTGTTCTGGCCTACAACTCCCAGAAATCCCAACCAATTTTCTGGGACTTGAAGGCCAAAACATCTGAGGAACCATTGGCTGAGAACCACTGCCTTAGAGTAGGAATTGAATTGGTAAGTCTGCATGTCCTTCATGGTTCCAATGTGTCTACTCCAGTTGAGACGAGCAATATAATTTGAGTCTAGATCCTTCTGCGAGGAACCCCATGGGCTTTGCTGTGTCTAACTGGAAGAGAATGCTTCTAGAACATGGCCATACAGCCCAAAAACCCTACAACAACCAACTGATAGATTGTCGAAGGCTTTCATGGCTGGAATCACTAGGTTGTTATAGGTTTTTCGAGATAATTGGCCATGTTCTAGAGGCATCAGAGAGGTGGTTCTCAACCTGTGGGTTCCCAGGTGTTCTGGTTTACAACTCCCAGAAATCCCAGCCAATTTTCTGGGATTTGAAGGCCAAAACATCTGAGGAACCATCGGTTGAGAACCACTGCCTTAGAGTAGGAATTGAATTGGTAAGTCTGCATGTGTTTCATGGTTCCAATGTGTCTCCTCCAGTTGAGACGAGCAATATAATTTGAGTCTAGATCCTCCTGCAAGGAAAACTGTTGGGCTTTGCTATGTCTAACTGGAGGAGAATGCTTCTAGAACATGGCCATACAGCCCGAAAAACCTACAACAACCAACTGGAAGATTGTCGAAGTCTTTCATGGCTGAAATCACTAGGTTGTTATAGGATTTTTGGGATATATGGCCATGTTCTAGAGCAGAGGTTCTCAACCTGTGGGTCCCAAGATGTTCTGGCCTACAACTCCCAGAAATGCCAGCCAATTTTCTGGGACTTGAAGGCCAAAACATCTGAGGAAATATAGGTTGTGAACCACTGTCTTAGAGTAGGAATTGAATTGGTAAGTCTGCATGTGCTTCATGGTTCCAATGTGTCTCCTCCAGTTGAGACAAGCAATATAATTTGAGTCTCGATCCTCCTGGAAGGAAAACCGATGGGCTTTGCTATATCTAACTGGAAGAGAATGCTTCTAGAACATGGCCATACAGCCCAAAAAACCTACAACAACCAACTGCTAGATTGTCGAAGGCTTTCATGGCTGGAATCACTAGGTTGTTATAAGTTTTTCGGGATATATGGCCATGTTGTAGAGGCATTCTCTCCTGATGTTTTGCTTGCATCTATGGAAGTCATCACAACCTCTGAGGATGCTTTCCATAGATGCAGGTGAAACGTCAAGAGAGAATGCCTCTAGGACATGGTGATAGAGCCCGAAAAACCTACAACAACCGACTGGAAGATTGTCGAAGGCTTTCATGGCTGGAATCACTAGGTTGTTATATGTTTTTCGGGATATATGGCCATGTTCTAGAGGCATTCTCTCCTGATTTTTCGCCTGCATCTATGGAGGTCCTCACAACCCCTGAGGATGCTTTCCATAGTTTCAGGTGAAAGGTCAGGAGAGAATGCCTCTAGGACATGGCTGAAAAGCCTACAACAACCCAACTGGAAGATTATTTTCTCTGCATCCTGTTGGTTAGTCCCACGACTTTCATAGGGTTTGTACTTCTCTTGTATAGTAGAGAAAGGTTTTCCAGGGAAACCAACACAAAACAATGTGTCCACCTAGCTTCTAGTCTTACAGACTAGACCTAGCTTCAGCTTTGCCCATTGTTTTTCTTTATAGCAGTGGTTCCCCACTTTTTTTGACCAGGGACCACCTTGACCAGGGACCACCTTAACCAGGGACCACTCTCCAACATTGGTCCCTGGTCAAGTGGGCCCTGGTCAAGTGGGCTCTGGTCAAAGTGGGCCCTGGTCAAAGTGGTTCCTGATCAAGATGGTCCCTGATCAAAGAAGTTTCTGGTCAAGTGGGCCCTGGTCAACGTGGGCCCTGGTCAAAACAAGTTTGGGAATTAGTGAATGGGAGATTCTTGCTTAATATTAACATACTAATTTAACTATATGTAAAGATCAGTGCTTCCCAACCTTTTCTTGACCAGGGATCACTTGACCAGGGACCACCTTGACCAGGAACCCAAAATTAGGACCAAAAGTATTATGAATCAGTTTTTGGTCAACCTTAGATTTGTTTTGGTTCTTTGGGGTGCTGATTCTGAAAATTGCATTGAATAGACCACATCATCTCTAGTAGTTTCTGATACAGTAAATATACCATCCAGTAGTCGCCATCTGCTTGTCCACAGAAAACCATATTTAATAATCTAGAGCTGCGGACCTTATTTTAGGTCTTGTGGCCCACCAGTGGGCCGCAGCTTACAGGTTGGAAACCAGTGCTTTACAGAGTTTTAGACCTCATCTCTACAGTATCCTATTATTTCCAACCCTGGTATCAACCTTACCAGTAAAGGAATAACTCCAAGTAGGAGATTAGCTTTTATAATTAGAGTATCTATTAGGCTTGTTTGATTTTAAAAATGGTTCAAAACTCATTTCGGATGTAGGGGGTGCTGGTGGTTCGGATCTAAAGTCAATTCCGGTTTTCAAAGAAAAGAATGTTCTAAATTTTGTGAAACTTCAGAGACTTCCAAAGGGGGGGGGGGAAGCAAGGGTAAGAAATCCATCCCCTTTGGATAAAACTGCTTCTCTCTCTTAACACTGAAGTGGGAGGGGGAAATGGTTCAAAATTCGTTTCAGATGTAGGGGGTGGTGGTGGTTCAGATCTAAACTCAATTCCAATTTTCAAAGAAAAAAATATTCAGAATTTTGCGAAACTTCCGAGATTTCCAAAGGGGGGGGGAAGCAAAGGTAAGAAATCCATCCACTTTGGTTAAAACCACTTCTCTCGCTTAAGATTGAAGTGGGAGGGAAATGGTTTAAACTAACACGGGAGGGAAAGGAAAGGAAGGGAATCCATCCACACTGGTTTAAACTGACACAGCTTCTCTCACTGATGGGGGGACGGAAAGGAAAGGAAGGGAATACATCCACACTGGTTTAAACTGAACGGCTTCTCTCGCTGACAGGAGGAGGGAAAGGAAAGGAAGGGAATCCATCCACACTGGTTTAAACTGACCCAGCTTCTCTCGCTGATGGGGGGACGAAAAGGAAAGGAAGGGAATTCATCCACACTGGTTTAAACCGATATAGCTTCTCTCACTGATGGGGGGAGGGAAAGGAAGGGAATCCATCCACACTGGTTTAAACTGATATAGCTTCTCTCGCTGACGGAGGGAGGGAAAGGAAAGGAAGGGAATCCATCCACACTGGTTTAAACTGATATAGCTTCTCTCACTGATGGGGGGAGGGAAAAGAAAGGAAGGGAATTCATCCACACTGGTTTAAACTGACACAACTTCTCTCGCTGATGGGAGGAGGGAAAGGAAAGGAAGGAAATCCATCCACACTGGTTTAGAAGGCTTCTCTGGCATGAACCGAGGCCAGGGAACAGAAGGGGGGGGGAAGCTGAATAATTTCCAACTCACTTAATGATTCGTAAGAAAAATGGCGGAAAAAAACTTCGGAAAGGCAAAGGGATTTCCGGTTTCCTTAAAAACTTCGAAATTGCTTGAAACAGGAAATCTTTCTGAATTTATTCCAAATTGTGAAGATTCTGACTGAACCTAACCATGCCTAGTATCTATATATGGTACATGTGCCAGAGACATCTGGAGAAAAGATGCCCTTCTCCCCCACCAGCTAGTTTGGGGAGCATCACAGCATAGGAGCCATACGTCGTTCTCCTGTTACTCTATCACAGTGCCCACCCTTATTATGAGAAGATGTTTATTCATGTTGTCTTGCTTCCATGTTGTCTCATTTCAGATCCAAGCCTTTAAGCAAAATGCCTCACTTCAAAGGCCAATCCTACTGCGACCCAAGTGGGGACAGAGTCTACTCCGGAAGCGGCTCTGGTGCCAATAGGCAGAGAAACCGACGAGGCAGCACTGGCAGCTACTCTGGAGGTTATGCACAAGGCAGCAGCTGTGGTGACTATGGTTGCTATGGTGGCCAAGGAGGTCAACGCTCCGGAAACCAAGGCGGCTACAGCTATGATGGCCAAGGAGGCCAGCGCTCTGGAAACCAAGGAGGATACAGCTATGATGGCCAAGGAGGCCAGCGCTCTGGAAACCAAGGAGGATACAGCTCTGAAGGCCAAAGAGGCCGCCGCCACAGTGGCCAAGGATCCTACGGTTATGATTACCAAAGAGGCCGTCGCTACAGTGATCAAGGAGGCTACGGCTATTATGGGCATGGAGGCCGTCGTTACAGTGGCCAAGGAGGGTATGGCATTGATGACCAAGGAGGCTATGGCTGTGAAGGCCGCCGCTTCGGAAACCAAGGAGGCCGTCGCTACAGCATCCAAGGAGACTGTGGCTATGGAGGCTATGGCTTTGGTATCCAAAGAGGCTGCGGTTATGGCAGCCTAGGAGGCTTCGGCAACGACGGTGGTTATGGCAGCCTAGGAGGCTACGGCTTGGGCAACCAAGGATGCTATGGCTATGGTAGCCTAGGAGGCTATGGCTGCCAAGGAGGCTATGGCTATGGAGGTCTAGGAAGACGCAGCTGCCTCCAGCCAATAGGATACGGTTGTAGAAGTGGGGGATACCGCTACGGAGATTTTGGCTGCCATTCTCTAGGTAGAGGGCTATTGGGCCGTGGCTGCTATGGTAACTATGGCAGTGGTGGATATGGGTATGGCAGTGATGGCTGTGGTGTGCGTGCCCTCCTTGGCTACCGCCACAGCAACTGCCAACCAGGTTACGGCTGTGGTTATCCCAACTAGAATTCGATGTCCCTGTCTGCCTCCATCACTCGGCATCTTCATCTGCTACTAAGCCAACCTCCAACTTCACACCACGAAAGAAAACGGACATGGAAACAAGAAATCAATCAACACGATGTTTGCCACATGGTTGTTTAGAACTGCTGGGCCTTCCAGAATTCCCGAAGGAGTTGGTGGAAGCTCAGGACTTCTTTCAGCCAAGCCTGCCTAAGCTTGCTCAGATCCTTCTGAAAAGAAGGACTTGGACGTTCACAAACCACTTGGCCTTCTGCTCCCGTGGCCTTTGATGACGGAAACAATCCTCACGTTGTGTTGTTTCAACCAGCTTGCCATTCATGTAATCCATGGTTCCCAAAGTAACTATCAAACATATATAAAGTTTGCTTTGCATCGCAACTCTGGTCTCCTGGTTTTGATTGGTTGCTTGAGCTTCATGGGGTTCTAGGTCCACCATGTGGGATTCTTGCTCTATCTATCTCTATCTCTATCTCTGTCTCTGTATCTCTGTCTCTGTATCTCTGTATCTCTCTCTCTCTCTCTCTCTCTCTATCTCTCTCTATCTCTATCTATCTCTATCTATCTCTCTCTATCTCTATCTCTCTCTATCTATCTATCTATCTATCTATCTATCTATCCCTCTCTCTCTCTCTTTCTCTCTATCTCTCTCTCTCTATCTCTCTCTCTCTCTCTATCTCTATCTCTGTCTCTGTCTCTCTGTATCTCTATCTCTGTCTCTCTGTATCTCTATCTCTCTCTATCTCTCTCTCTCTCTCTCTCTCTCTCTCTGTCTCTCTCTCTCTATTTATCTATCTCTCTCTCTGTCTCTCTCTCTCTCTCTCTATATATATATATATATATATCTTTCTATTTCTCTCTCTCTCTCTATCTATCTCTATCTATCTATCTCTATCTATCTCTATCTCTCTCTCTCTCTCTCTCTCTCTCTCTATCTCAGTGTTTCTCAACCTGGGAGTTGGGACCTCTGAGGGGGTCGTGATGGGGTGTCAGAGGGGTCGCCAAAGACCATCAGAAAACATAGTATTTTCTGTTGGTCATGGGGGTTCTGTGTGGGAAGTTCGACCCAATTCTATTGTTGGTTGAGTTCAGAATGCTCTTTGATTGTAGGTGAACTATAAACCCCAACAACTACAACTCCCACATGTCAAGGTCTATTTTCTCCAGACTCCACCAGTGTTCACATTTGGGCATATTGAGTATTTGTGCCAAGTTTGGTCCAGCTCCATCATTGCATGAATCCACAACACTCCTCTGGATATAGGTGAACTACAACTCCCAAAATCAAGGTCAATGCCCACCAAACCCTTCCAGTGTTTTCTGTTGGTCACGGGAGTTCTATGTGCCAAGTTTGGTTCAAATCCATCGCTGGTGGAGTTCAGAATGCTCTTTGATTATAGGTGAACTATAAATCCCAGCAACTACAACTCCCAAATTACAAAATCAATATAATAAAAGTCAGTGTTTGTATGTGAGTATGTGAGTATGTGTGTATGTGGCAGCTTTCTGATTGGCTCCCACTTCCACAGGCCACTGTGACCTGCACGAGCGATGGACCTGGACCAAACTTGGCACACATAACCCCCACAACCTCCTTTACATCCTGGTGAAGTTTGGGGAAGGATGGACAACAGATTATGGGATTTGCAGTACTTTCAAACCCTTCAGTTCCCACAGACCACTGTGACCCTCAACAAAGACTGATAAAGACCAAACTTGGCACACAGAGTCCCCATGACCCACTCTACATCCTACTGCAGTTTGGAAGAGGGCTGACCATGGATGATGGGAATTGAAGTACCCCCACTGACTTCCCGAGACCACCGCGACCCTCATCCAATGACCAATCAAGACCACACTTGGCACACATAACCCCCATGGCCCTCTTTACGTCCTGGTGAGGTTTGGGGGAGGATGGACAATGGATGATGGGATTTGTAGTACTTTCCAACCCTTCAGTTCCCACAGACACTATGCCCCCCAACAAAGACCAATAAAGACCAAACTTGGCACACAGAGCCCCCATGACCTACTCTCCATCCTGGTGCAGTTTGGAGAAGGATGGACCACAGATGATGGGACTCGCAGTACCTTCACTGACTCCCTGAGAGCACTGCGAGCCATATAAATAACTGATAAAGACCAACCTTGATACACAATTCCTTTCTCACAGAACCCGGACAGCGCCGGGTCCCCAAGCTAGTCTATAATAAAAGTCCATGTTTGTATGTGGGTATGTGTGTATGTGGCAGCTTTCTGATTGGCTCCCACTTCCACAGGCCACTGTGACCTGCACGAGTGATGGACCTGGACCAAACTTGGCACAAATAACCCCCATGAGCCACTTTACATCCTGGTGAAGTTTGGGGAAGTATGGACAACAGTTTATGGGATTTGCAGTACTTTCAAACACTTCAGTTCCCACAGACCACTGAAATGCTTACCAAAGATGGGACTTAACCAAACTTGGCACACAGAACCCCCACTACCCACTTTACATCCTGGTGTGGTTTGGGAAAGGTTGGACCATGGATGATGGGACTTGCAATACCTTCAGAGGTGGCCCTAGGTAATTTTCAACAGTAAGCAAACAGTATTTTGGTCCCCCCCCCCACCAATCACTGATATATATATTCTGTTTGTCATGGGAGTTCTGTGTGCCATATTTGGTTCAGTTCCATCATTGGTGGAGTTCAGAATGTTCTATGATTGTCGGTGAACTATACATCCCAGTAACTACAACTCGCATATGTCAAGGCCTATTTCCCCCCAAGAGCGCCTCAAGAGCGCCCCTGGGCAAAATCAACTATACCGCAAAGGCTTACTTTGCGTAATGGTTGAGCCGCCCCTGAATACCTTCACTCACTTCATTCACTTCCCGAGACTGCTGCAACCCTCACCCAATGACTGACCAAGACCAAACTTGGCACACAGAGCCGCCATGACCCAATCTACATCCTGGTACTGTTTGGAGGAGGATGGACCATGGATGATGGGACTCGCAGAACCTTCACTAACTTCCTGAGACCACTGTGAGCCACATAAATAACCGATAAAGACCAACCTTAGCACACAATGCCTTTTTCAAATAACTCGGGCACTGCCGGGTCTCCAAGCTAGTATTTGATAAAGCCTAAATTCTATTGTCCATCCCAACTGGGGCCATTGGATCGATGAGAGTTGCCCATATCTTGATTTTCTATCCAACAGCAGATGCCATAGCTTTACCATAGATAAAACCAACCAATAGGATTCCTTAAATGTGGCCTTCGGTAAGATAGAAATTACCTCACCTGAACTACCATGGCTCAATGCTATGGAATCCTGGGAGTTGTAGTTTTGCAAAGCCTTTTATGCCCAAGACTATGGAGTCTTTGCTGCTTTTGTGCAGAAAATGCGATATAGTAAAAAGGGGTCTTAAACAGGTTTAGGGTGGTGTTTAAACTAGGGATGTACACAATATCATTTTGGTGTACCGGATTCGGGGGATTCAGCTGCCGAATTGTCAAAAATGAGCCTGAGGGTTTGGGGGGGGGGGCAGTAGAAGCCTTAGTGAATACAGATCACAGCAGCCAGATCTTGTTGGCTAACACTGTTCTACACATTTTCAGTTTTTCTCAGTTTCGGAAACGAAATGTGCCGTTTCTTAATAAATTTAACATGCTGAATTCAAATATAATAATTAAATGTGTTAATTGGCTCTGGTTTTTATGCAACAGCTATTTCAATTTTCTCCACAATAGGTAATTCGTTAATATTATGATAATGCGCCTAACCTTACTGCATGTATATAAATATTTACTAAATTTTAGTCAAATTATATTGCCAATAGTTTATACATGAGAAATATTTATTTAATTAGTCTATTTGTTGCAGCAGGCCAACCATTTACCAGGATTCCATGGGTTTCGTTGGGGAAGGAATATGGCAGAGACACAGCTTGGCAGAATTTCCAGTATTTATTCTTACCCGGGTAAGGGTGCCCAGCTCCTCAAGATGGCTGATGAAGCACAAAGCTCTGTCCAAGTTAGCCCGGTATTTATAGAGAGAATTACCAGTTTGCACATGCATATACCAACTCTGCCACGTACACAATACATAATCATTAACAGAATTCTTATATAAGAACACTTTTGGCAAATCATCACGACCCCAAATATTTGTCTTTCCATCAACCTTTAGCCTTATCCCCAAATTACATGTTTATGTGTTCCTAATTTTCTTACATCTTAAAATGAATCATAACGTCATATATATGCTTTTCAACATAAAACTTATTCAAAGTAATTTCCTTATTAATTCTTCTGTAATTATTTTCATAATCTTGTTTTATTGGAATTGGTCATGTTATAGAATGCGTCTGAAATCACCTGCTATTTACATCAAATGGACAGGAGATAGCGCTCTCTTACTATATGACCTTAGATGTTCCAGTCTTGGATCAATAGATATCGATTTACCTTAAGCACCAGGTCTCTATGTTTAGACTAAAGTCAACCTTCGGCCTCTTATTGAATATTTATTTAAGGACCAAGCTACCCCGACCTCTTATTGATTCATACCATCTGCTGATTTTCCCTTACTCTAAAAATCTCTCGCCAGAATTAAGGTAGGACTTTACTGTTCATTTTAAAGTCATTTAAATTATAATTATTTTATTTTTCTCCTAATGGCTGCCACATATTGTTTATGTTTGTGCAGCAAGAAACTCTATTCGTAGGCCTAATGCAGTAGAAAAGTCTGAAAGTTTAAATGTCGCTTGAATCGTGACTTGAGTTTATATCCTGTTTGCTTCTCTTGACTTTTCTTTTGTATTCAAGGAAAGGATTCCCTCTTCCAATGCTCCAGCAGGAGTCTGACAGCATTGACGGAGTCCATTGGCCTTGATATCTTTTTTCCATCGTGCTTTATTTACACACGTGCGAGGCATCACTACAGTCAAAAGAACCATGTAAAATGATGTTTAACGAGACTGTCTCAATCTTCAACTGACTGACCCTCACCGTTCAAAAGTCTGGCCTTATATAGGGCTTTCTGGCTTTTGCACATGGCACTAATACTGCGTCATCAAACTTTCTAGAGTATTCTAGAATCTTCCATAGTGTAAGTCGCAACATGCATTTTTTCAACCATACGTGATCCCGTGATTGCTTATATCATAAAAACTAGAGCCAATATACATTTTTAAATGTCATTTTCGTTTTCAGCACCCCAAAATCATAAAAGAACAACTATTTTCAGGCCCGCAACTTTTTCTCCGTTGAATAGTGTAATTGGGGCGAATAGGGTTTAATAGGGGTAATGAGGCTGAGGAGGCTTATTTGGTGCAAAACAAAAATGGTTCAAAACTCGTTTCGGCTGGTGGTTCAATTCTAAAGTCA